TTTATCTTGTGTGCGCTTCAATACTGGTTTAGTTATTTTAGACTGACAGAATTCAGTCTGGCAGGTGCGGTGTACACAGGCGATGTGTTGTTTATTTTATGGGCAGGTGGTGGCTTCGAGAACAGGAATATAATTAATAATCCATAACTCATTTGTCTGTGAAAGCACAGGTTGTTTAAAAGTGGACATGTAATAATTGTAACTTTTAAAAAACCAACCTCAAAAGTTCGTTTATCTGCATTCGCTGTGTTTGTCACCGCGGTCTCATCAACGATAACTGAAACGCAGATGGGAATCCTCTCATGTCTGCCACTTACCTATTTCCACCTTACCTATTTCTACCTTATAGGTGCTGGTGAAATGACAGCCACATGGGGCTTGTCAACTTGTGTCTCAGGACACCCTGAGTGGCGCAGTGGCAGTGCCTCTCTTTGTCGCGCCGTTAATTAGTAGGTATTTAAAAAAATCATGTCGGCGTTTGTCACTATAACATATTATTTTAATTGGAATTACATCTATGTGCCAAGTTTTATTGAAACTGGTTAACGAAAAGTGGGTGAAATCCAATAGACCTGATTCTACCATGAATTTGCCTCCCTTGGGGGTGGAATATTTTCTTCAAATATGAATGGGAGCACAACTGGAGTACACCCTTTGCAACAAAAATGGAATCATCGAAAATGGTCCACAAATTATATCGCAGTCTGCGTAACATACGCACGAGTACTGTAAACCTCAAACGATGGCCCATCTCTGCTAGTGATGCGGTCGGCGTGTCTGAGTTCTGTGCCACAATAGTGTGTGCCACCGATACGATAATTATTTTATTTTATTAAATTTAATTATATTTAGCTCTTATAGGATTTGGTAAAATGTCAAACATGTACCCTTAAGGGCGCCGCAATATCAATTCTAAGACATTGATTTGAAATTCTAAGACATGATTACCATTAAAATATAATAATAAGAATAAGATAAGAAGATTAATTTTCGCTAGGCGCGCGGCTGGCTTAGAGTAAAAGAAGCTTGGCCACGATATGAAAAAGCGTATTCCATAAATTTGACTTTTCACTACAACGCTTTGAAGGATATTTCGTAGGAGTTTCGTAGGAGTATTTCGCTCATGTGTTTGTTTCACTAGTGCGGGGCTACGTGTAAGTTGAAAAAAAACTTCACTTGATATGCATTAATCAATCTTTTCATAGAAGTTCTCTTATTCTCCTACTACACAGTCCAGTTTTTTAAAACATTCTCGATTTCGTTTGAAAACGTATTTCATGGCCATCCTCTTCCAATATTGCCTTCCAAGATGGAAGCTCACAACCAATGGTGAAGCATTTTTTCTAGCGTAAACAAGTGAAATATCATACACAGTATGGCCTCTCGAAGCGACGTCTTTCCAGCTACCCTATCCGTTTAAGCCATTAGAAAACCCTATTTAGGACATGTAGGGGATGAAACGCCGTACGGCTTTTCACAATAAACGCTCGTAAGAAAACGCCTCTGGCCCTGTACGCTCGTTCTCCGGCCGACATCCGAAACAATTTCTGTGAAATAAGTAATACTGGACGAAATTGAAAGGAAACGTCACGTGTCTCTCAATTTCGTCGGGTATTACTTACTTACTTGACAGTCATTGTTCCGGACGTATGTCAGAGGGAGAACTAGGTATAGTAGACCCGCAGATTCGTCACGTCAAGTGCCTATTCCACTTGAAAAAAAGAAACAAGAAACCATACCACTTAAACACCACTGTTGGACATCTTTTTTTAAATTAATTTCTATTAAGATTAATTTTCTATCATAGTAACACGTGTCTTATTGGTAAAATGTCAATTACTGGTTACTTAATTAGTGGATTTTTGGTGTTCATTACTGGAGATTTGGAGAAAGTCTATGTTAGGTTTTTTTTTGTTATAATTATTATAACTTTTTTTTATGAAACTTACTACGGTATAACCTTGAGGGTTATATTGTCAAGTAAACTAATTGCTATTGATATGCTTAAAAATGAACCATTAAAATAATTGCTTTTATAATAAAATTTAAGCGCTATTTATAAAAATTAATCTTCATGCGTGAACAGCCACCCTTAGAGGTGTATGATTTTCTTCAAAATTAAATGGGACCACTGTGGAGGTATCCTCTTTCTAACAAAAAAAGAATCATGAAAATCGGTTCACAAATACTGAAGTTATCGCGTAACATACATACAAAAAAAACGTAAAGTCGAATTGAGAACCACCTCCTTTTTTGAAAGCCGGTAAAAAAAAAAAAGTATTTCATAATTATAACTTTTTATTAAAAAAATCAACCTCAAAAGTCATTCATCCTTTAGTTTGCCCCTCTTAGAGGTGGAATATTTTGTTCAAATTTAAAAGGGACCAATACGGACCTCTTTCCAACAAAAAAGAATCATCACAATACTCCTCCTTTTTTAAAGTCAGTTAAAAAATTAAAGACACACTTCCCTTGAAATGTCTATCATTGGTACCATGACTCTACTTTGACATTTGGTGGTGGTGTCGTGAATTATGGCCTGCCTATCCTTAGAGGGTACCTGCGCCAATGGGACTTGTAATCGGTCGAAGACGAGATGGTATTAGTCTTACCTTTGAAAATCAGACAAATTACATTTACCCCCTGAAATGACCTTGTTAATTCTATGAAAGTTATTTCTCTAAATATGGTGACGCTTCAAAATTATATTGCCAACTCAAGATCTTAGGTTTTCGCGATTGCTATTGAAAATGAAACAAATTTTTCGGATTTACATCGCGTATATTTGTTTTTTCAAATAAACCAACTTTTCTGGTTCTTTACTGTTGCCATGATCAACCGTGATTAAATAAGTTTTTAATCATTTAATCGCGGCTGATGATTTTGATCCGATATAGTTTTAATCGCAATACATTGTCAGCTGTTATAACGTTACCAATAGAGCTCAAAGATAGATGTCGCGTCGAAATCCCGCTGCCGCTCTGGGAACTGCGAACTTGACCTCGGAGGGCGATCGATACTCCAGCATGCCTATACTAGCCTGGTACCGACACGGGCGGTTAGTTTATATACGTTATCCTTACGGAATATGGAACCTATCTTTATTATAGGCTAATTGTACCAATATGCTGCAATACTTCAAATCGTCTGCAAAAGAACCGTCTTTTCGGCTTCAGATACATTTCTTGCTGCCAGCAGCAACAGAAAACAGCTGGCCCACCACAAATTTTATGAAACATTCCCGATACAACACAGTTTACTCCAAAAACTCAGTAACCTTACCATCCCTAAGCTAACAACTCTTCGAGACCAATTAAACGAGGTCAAACACTAGTGGTGGTGGACGAGTTGGATAGATACAGATTGTCCCGGTTGCAACGTCAGGTCCTTATTGTATTATCGTAATGTCATCGGATTTCCATAGTATAACAAATATCAAGTCGATCGAACATTTGGGAGTAAAACATTTTTTTTTATATAAAATTAAGTGCGCTATTGTCCTCCATCTCACCTGATGGAAATTGACGACGAAGTCGACGATGGAGCACGCACACCTGAATAAGGCATTATTCATTCTCGCCTTGAAAAGGTCCAAGTTATAACATTCTGGGAACAAGTCTGCAGGCTGAGAATTCTACTCCATAGCCGTTCGCCATATAAATGTGGAAGCATTACCCCTCGTTCACACGCCGTTGCACTGGACGTTTTTTGCAGTATTCGTTGTGCGGTTGTATGTGTGTGCGTTTTTTGCAGGACAAACACCGTGAAAGTGAACGGTTCTATATCTAATGTATGCGCCACTGTTTATTCGGTTCGGGTTTGGAATATTCACAACATAGGGTGCAACTCAAGCCTACGCCTAGTCTCCCAGTGATGGAAAAGGGAAGGCGAAATTAAATCATGTAATTGCATCGCACACTCTCCGTAATACATCCAGTAAAATATCGACACAGGCATTTTATGGTGGTGTTCGCCTCCACTAATTCCGAGTCACATATAAGCCTCTTGGCACGGTTGTCAATTGAATCCAGGGTAGCCAGTCGTATGTAGCAGAATAAATATGCATTTTATGACTGGGAGTGCAGGGATGCACTAACTGAGAAAAGAGTTGATTTTAAATAGTGGAACAGATGTTCATCAGGCAAAGCCAAAAATCAACCCGATTAAAATAGACTTTAAATAAATAACCGCTTTAAGATCAGTACATATCTTATATATAGGAGCTACGATGCCACAGACACGAACAAAGGCTTCAAACTTATTACTGTCATCATTTTGCGCAGGCGGTTAAAAATGGTTCTAATACTTCAGAAACTTTTGCGGATGTGGGCACAACTCACAAGGGTTCCATTGCCATCGCAACACGGGACACACGTGCGAAAAGCAGTAATGTTGAACGTAAATCAGTACAAACCCTTCATAATTTATAACTTATATTTATATAAAAGCGACCTGAAATGTTTGTGGAATTACATCTATTTGCCAGTTTTATTGACATCGGTTAACGGAAACTGAGTGAAATCCAATAAACCGGATTCATCCCCTAATTTGCCACACTTAGAGCGCTTGGGCACTACGTCCGATTCGTGTCAGTTCCGAATTCGAGAAATGTCGGTCGGAAATGTCAGGTGTCCGAAGTGTCATTTTTGTGTGTGATTGAGTGTGATTGAAATCGGACTTAGTACACAAGCGACATCCGAAGTGGGTCCGAGTTTTCGAGATGTGTGCAGTCTTGGATTCGGAACGATACGAATCGGACTCAGTGACTTTGACAGACCTTGATTGGGATCGCACCCATCACGGATAGATCACGATTTAAATCCGAAAAAATAATTTCATTCCAACGTATGGCAATCGCAACAATCTAAGAACTCGATATCATCATCCATGTCAACCCATTTATACGTCTCGCTTGGGGACGGATCGCCTCTCAGACGAACGTTTAGGCCGTAGGAACTTGACACGTTTTTCAAAGATTGTGAACCTTCTTCGATGTGCAGGTTTCGGACAAGAATTCCGAAAAACTCAAGGCCTGACTTCAATAAAAGGAGGAGGTTCTCAATTCGACTGTATTTTTTTTTACGGGATAACTCCGGATATTTGTGAACCGATTTTGATGATTCTTTTTTTTTATTTGAAAGAGGGTACCCCAGTATTGGTCCCATTTAAATTTGAAGAAAATATACCACCTCTAAGGGTGGCAAACTAGGGGAGGAATGACTTTTGAGGTCTGTTTGTTTTTGTACTCTGTACTGAGATTATTATTCTAACTTGATATAAAAGTATTTATTTTCCTGCCACTTTAAGTTTTCATAAAAGCAAGGCTTTGCCTCGAACATTGAACGAAAAATAATACATTTGCAGATCCCTTTGATGTGTACTAAGTGCCTGCACTATAAATAACTTTCTCGAATACGGCCGGCGATGTTGTTGAAGAAGACAGCGCGTGGCGATGTGGCAAATCGATATATCCGCACACCAAGGTCGGCCGGTAACACCGGTGTGCATGGGTACTACTGAACAACCCTATACATATAAAAGGACACTAACCAGTGACAAAAACCTAACGCTTCCACTAAATGACTGCATGCAGCCTACATTAACTGCAGGCAATTATCGCCGCGCCTAGCTCAGGAGCGAAGTGCGTCAACTAACAGACGTCGAGATTGGAGCACGGACGCTACTTCTGTTATTATTGCCAGGTCTCGTCACTCGCTCAAGGTTACGCGATAAGTACCTATCACTGAGTGTACCGACGTCGGTACAAGCGCTCATACAAGTCTTTCATTTATGAGCATTTGGCTCCGAGAATGCACACGGCGGGCAACGTTATTTTCACCTCTCTGAGCGCCTGGTTTCATTAGTGAGATTTAGTAAGCTATCATAGCGTAGCGATTTTATATGAGAGTGATGTATCTATTTCGTAGTAACTGTTAAGTACTGCACCCGAAATTAAGACAAGATGAAAACAAATTTTGCAACTACTTTAGAATGTCGATTGCCTCTGTGTGTGGTTGTGATGTGGTTGTCTCTGTGTGTGTCCAGGGCACCCGCGACACAGGGTTTCCCTAGTGCGGCGCTATGTTGAGTGTGTGCGTTATTATTATTATTATTGCCAATTTTGATAAGTGAACCTATACTACATTAAAAGCAAAATATAAATGGTATACCCAAAAATTTCATAATATATCCGCGTAAGAATGTGAACATACTACTACTTTTGATACTCGATCTACCGTCCACATCGACACTTGAAGTTGAAATCTCAGTTGAAGTCGAGGTTTTGGCTACACGAAGTTGACAACGACTTGGCGCATTAATCTGAGCAGCCTTTGTTGACGTCGGTTAAAAAACCGGCTCTTTTTTAATGTAGCACTTCAGTAATTTTCAGTTCCCTAATTGTGATTGCAAAAGTGACGCGTGTTAGGACAGTAGCGCTGCAACTGCGCGTCTAAATATTGCATCAAAATTAGTGGTTATACTATAAGGAAAGAAAAGCTTCCATAGATTTCTCACAGATGCTACGGCAAAAAATCGTTAAAAACCAAAAACAAAGATCTACAATGTTGTATATTTGTTTTTTCAACCATCAACCATCACTGTACCACCTCAGTCAACCGTGACCATGGGACCTGTAAAGGGCCCGAAACGTTTGTTTGACAAAACAAATATATATAGCAATTGAAATCCGGTGAAATAGTTTCGTTTCCTAAGTGTAACAATCGCGAAAACCTAAGAACTCTATACTTTTAGTAAACTAACCTAAACCTTTATACTATAGTTAGCGTCACTACAGTGCTGCTATAAGCGTAATTTAAACGCGCCTTAAGGAAAGTTTAGTAGTTTAGTTAAAATTCTAAAGCTATCACTCAATGAATCGAATAAGTGTAACACTTTCACGTATATTTCGAAGATTTCGACTTGATATCTCATCACGAACAATATTCATTTAAATAGCATCGTAAAATAGTATTTGAAGAATGGTAGTCCAAAAGTGAGGCTATTTTTCAACTATACACTATGAAACGAATGTATTTTTTTGTACATTAGACAGACTTGTCTATGGTTGCATAGTGCTGTACGAAAAAAACATTCGGTTCATTCAATTAAAGTTTTTATAATGGATTAGTAAATTGAATATTTTAATCGCAACCGAACGAGTATCTAAGGGTGGTATTACAATTGGCCATCACTAAACCGTCTATGGTGTGGTCAGTGACTTGCTTGTTTACTTTTTGTTCAAAATGGACTTAAACGAAGTATAGTACCTACTCGGCTCGTACAAATCCTATAACACATTTAAAAGTCTGTAGTATAATCTCCTAATTCGCCTTCTAAATCTCGCTACACCGAGATTGCGTAATTGTTCCTCCCAATCCCCCTCGCCCTCCCCATCTTCTTTCTTCCCCACTCGAAGTGAGGCATTTGTTGGTGATGCGTTTTTGATGTTCATTGTTGCGTTGACAAATTTTATATGAGGGTTGTTTTTCTTTACCTCCTTGGATAACATAATTAAATGCATAGACTCGAATACACGATCCTGCCGAAAGATTACGGATGTAAGTGATAGAGTGAAATATTATGTTGGTTTATAGCAGGATTCAAAATTATCAATATATTTATTTTCTTTTATAATAATAATTATGTGGTAATATTCGATGTGTTTCCGATAATTATACATAGTTTTGTCTCTTTCATTTTTGACAAAAATGACAAAAAACTGATAAATCTTTGAGAAAACCATTTTTTTTTGTATGTATGTTACGCGATAACTCTTTTTACTAACGGCATTTGTGAACCAATTTTGATGATTCTTATTTTGTTGGAAAGAGGGTACCTCCATAGTGGTCCCATTTCATTTTAAAGAAAATCATACACATGATCATGAATCCGGTTTCGCGCACTTTCCGGTAACCGATTTCCCCACGCAATACGCACCACATGTTGCGGTTACACTATAAACTAAAGCTCATTAAGTGTTTTTCCAAACAAACCAATTTGGACCACTTCGCACCTCTAGATAGACTGGCACACCAGCGTAAGAAGTGTACCCATACTGTTTACATTGACATTTTTGCCAATAGTTTTTTAGTAGCAGTAGAGCTGCTTGTGTAAGAGTTCGTCCGAGGAAGTACTGCCACCTTACCTATTTCTGCCGCCCAGCAGTAATGTCAGCATTAAGTACTACGTTCCGGTTTTGAAGGGTAAAGGTGCTGGTGAAATTACGGGCACATGAGACTTTTCAACTTATGTCTCAGGGTGATGCAGATGTTTGCAATTTAAAGCTGTGACAGTCGTATTCCAGAACTCTACTCAATGCTCAAGTCAGGACTTAAGTATGATTTCAAGCACTGGAAATACGTCCCTAAGGGCAAGGACTTGAGTATGATATCTAGTGCTTTTAATCATACTCAAGTCCTGACTTGAACATTGAGTACAGTTCTGGAAAACGACCCTGAGTGGCACTGCAACTGTTATGGACAGGCGTGTCGTCTACCATCAGGCGCACGACTTGTCCGTGTCATCGCTAATTATCACAACAAAAAGTTTGCCTATGTTTAAACGTTCTGTGAAGTCCCTGACATCTTAAAACATCTTAAAATGTATATAATTATGCCTTAGTTAGTTTGATACTCAATTTTTTTTTATTTGTTTCTTAATACTATTTACGTTTTTTGAAATTTAATGTAATTGATTGATACAAATTGTAACAACGTTCTTATTATCTTGCATATTGTCTTCACCTATAATTGCTATAGCATTAAGCTCTTTGTTTTGTATATTTGAAAGTTAGAACGTATAATAGTGTTGATGAACTAAATAAATAAACAAACCAACATTTCGGGCCCTTTACAGGTCCCATGGTCACGGCTGACAGAGATGGTAAAGTTATCAACCAGTTATGTCAAATATTAATGCAAACAATTTATTTATAAATCTACTCTCCATGTAAGCATTCAGAACATATTTCAAAAAGTAAAATATATCACTAAAGTAGTACAAGGAAGTTCGAGTGGCATAGCGAAGCGGTTGTAGACCCCTGGCGGGCAGCCAAAGCGGTGCAGGGTTCGATTCCCTCCAACCATCCGCGCCGACAGACGATGCGAGCAACACGTGGTGGACAGAGATCTCGCTAACGCAACGTGTCTTGCTGTTTTGACGAAAATAAATTATTTGCACCACAACGTATGACTCGATATTCTGAATTCAACTATGTAAACAAGTGGTATTAGGCACATTTTTCAGTGCAACGTGTTTTAGGATTGGCACTTGTAATATTTTTTGTTTTAAAAGCCCTGCACTAGGGAAATCCTGTGTCGCGGGCCGTGCCATGGACACACACATAGACACGAGAGAAATAAATGTAGGCTACACTAATATTTCTCCTAGCCCGAGACGGAACCCGGAACCTCTGCGTGGCAGACCAGCATGGTAGCCGTTCGGCCACGGAGGCAATTTCTTTCGGTTCTGGTCAAAGTCATTCTATCAATGAAATAATTATGTAACTTTAATAACCTCAGTACAGAGTACTAAATAATCTCAGTGCAGAGTACGAAAACAAACCAACCTCAAAAGTACGTGGAATTACATCTGTTTGCCAAGTTTTATTGAAATCGGTTACCGGAAAGTGCGCAAACCCGGATTCATCCCCTAGTTCGCCACTGTACGGGACTTGACGCAGGAGATAATAACAATCGGTTCTCACTACTCAAAGTATATTGAAAGAAAAACGCCTTGAATTGGAGAATAGCAAAATCGACCATTAAAATAATTGCTCCTTGTAATAAAATTTAAGCGCTATTTATAAAAATTAATCTTCATGCATGAACAGCCACCCTTAGAGGTGGATGACTTTCTTCCAAATTAAATGGGACCACTGTGGAGGTACCCTCTTTCCAACAAAAAAAAAAACACCAAAATCGGTTCACAAATGGCGGGCAATTATCGCGTAACATACATACAAAACAAAAAACCATACAGTCGAATTGAGAACCTCCTCCTTTTTTAAGTTGGTTTAAAAAGGTAATAAGCTAATTGGCAAACCTAGTTGGAAGGAGGGTAACCTCAGTATTGGTCCCATTTCAATTTGAAGAACATATTTCACTCTAAGGGTGGCAAACCAGGGGATGAATCCGGTTTCGCGCACTTTCCGGTAACCGATTCCAATAAAACTTGGCAAATAGATGTAATTCCAAGAACTTCAGAAGTCGGATTTTTTAGTACTCTACTGAGAAAAGCCCTTCGGTACAATCAATCGGTCTACGTTCCCGATCGGTCCACTTTCACTATTCGTCTACATTGCCGATGAAAAAGCTGTTGACTTTTGAACTTTAGAGTAATTCGGTACGTCTTTTAATTACAAACATGGCTAAGAACCATCCCGATTAAATTAGCCTTCAAATAAAAAAGAAGCGCTAAGAGATCAGTCCATCCGTTTGGTATCTACGATACCACAGGCCGACACACTGCCACACAGACATGGGCTTCAAACTTGTAGCTCTCCTCTTTTTGCTTTGGAGGTTATAAACAAGATCAATCACGAAACACTCTCATACTCACATATTTATCAAAGCAGCGAAAGCCGCTGTGGTCTCTCGAGATGTGACCTTCTGCAACCTCTGGCCTCAACGCCACACAATACACACTGTAAGATCATTGCTTACTAGTACAAAGACGGCTGTGCCAGCAACGGATTGCGCTAGTGAATATTTGATTAATCTACGTTCCGCTCGCTCGAGCCACCGTAGAGTCTAGTAGAACGCGTCCGTTAGAGAGTTACCACACTTACTGTTTGTTATTAAACGGCTTCAAGAAAGTAGGGGTGATACCCCGGTCTGTGAACCGATTTCGATGTTTCTTTTATTGTTGGAAAGAGGGTATCTCGGAGTTGGTCACATTTAAACTTGAAGAAAATATTCCACCTCTAAGGGTGGCAAACCCGGTTTCGCGCTATTCCGGTAACCGATTTCAATAAAACTTGGCAAATTGATGTAATTCCACGACTTTTGAGCTCGGTTTTTTCTTATACAAAGAAATTTTTTTATTATTTGAAGGTTGGTTTTACCAAAATGTTGTTGGTAAATGCTGTTTAAAGACCAGCAGCTCTTTTCTCAGTTAGTGGTGTTCTCAGTCATAAAATGAATATTTAATTTAGTTTTAATTTGTCAGAACCACTTGAAATTTGGAATATGGAAATCTGATTGCAATAACATGGTATCCTTGATCTGATGCTGCTTGACTTGATGGAACGTGACGATGATGTCGGCGATGGAGCATGCACACCTAATTAATGCCTACGTAACCTCGCCTTAAAGAGACCCAAGGTGTACCGCTCTGGAACATGTTCGCAGGCAGGGAATACCACCCTATAGCCGTTCGCCACATAAATGTGGAAGCGTAACGCTTCTTACTATTCTTTGAATATCCACAACCTCGGGGTGGAACCCCAGCCTACGTCTAGTCCTCGTGTTTGGGCTAATATATTCATCTCGACGAGTTCCAAACTTATATAATGCTTTTATAATGTTTAAATATTTTTTTATAATGCCTTTTGCAACGTGCGATCGGTCCACGGACTATGAGCAGCTGTTTTGTTGCGATCTATTTGGCGAGACACGCCTGCCCTGTGTTAGGCTACTTCGCTGTTCATCTTTCCAATTTTTCCTTCCTTTGGTCCTACATATGGCGCCTCTTCAATCGTGTGTTACTTAGAGGTTCGTTCAGAGCTTGTGCAAGCCTGTTTTCATGTCGTGAGATTCTGTCCTTATAGGCTTTTGTCATGCTACTTACTGATCTCCTGTTTGACAGTAGAGATTTTTAGATAATCATGAATATCATGCATTTTTTTGGACCATGAAGCTTTTACCAGAATTTTTGGAATATCTCCAAGCTTGACATACTTGCTTGATCCCCACAGTTGTATTGTAAACCTTAACTCCAAACCGGTTTGAGGACTTTTGTAGATGGATAACTTGTTCTTAAGAGACAATCGGGATTTTTTTTGCCCAGAAGTCATTCCAAAATAACAAATTTGAATTTGTTATGGAACTCATCGCGCTTCTTTAGTATGTGTGTTTCCCAGGTTTGTCTGCGGTCAAGGGAGAATCCCAAGTACTTCACAGTATTGTGGGGGAAACAAACCTTCACCTAATTTAAAAAAAAACCTTAACTTAAGTGTTGTTAATTGACAAAGTTATTGTAAATTTTATATCGCCCTTAAAATTATGAGTGCAACATGTTCTACATTATCGTGTTATTATAAATAAGTAATACATGTGTGGGTTTCAATCTAAGTTGTCCGGCCTTTAACTTGAAAGTGTTGCGCAAACGCAACGGTCTAAATGTGCAATTGGGTAATCGTTCAAAATGCTTGGCGCATTTGCTTGTTAGTAAGTTTCCGAACGAGTGAGCCGGAAGGACAATCGATCGAGCGAGGAACACACGAGTACCAACTTAAAAATAGACTGCATGTCCCGTTTCGGTTGGGGAAATTCGAGAATACTTTATAGTACGTACAAACGGACAAACGTAACAGCATTCAATTCTAGAATCAACTATTTCCGCTAGACACGTTTTTCGATTGGTGCTTAACATTTAGTATTCAATTGGTTTGGGGAAAAATTTGACAACCAACATAAACAGAACCCATGCTGTTTTACTAAAATGGTAGGTACGTAAATCACACAAACATGCAAACACACAAAAGATCATGTGCCACAAAAACCACACTACTACCTGGTCTCAAACAAGGAAATCCCCACTACTATGTCTACCAGGAATTCACTTCGGAGCGACAGGCGTGTCACTTACCACCAGGCGCACGACTTGTTCGTCCCACCACTTGGTATTATAAAAAAAAACCTTTCTCCATTACCGCCGCTTGTTGCCATTTTACTGTTATCGATTCTACTTAAATCAACTCGACTGCAAATGATTCTATAAATTAGTAAATATTTTGAAATTTGCAGTAGCAAGACGAATCTAGAATTAATGTATTAATAAATAATTGGTGTGGACAGTTTGTCCATTAAAGACAGCCCACGGCGACTGAACAATGTTACAAATCCGGTTTGTCGCCGTCAAATTCTTTTGACCCGCTTACGTCTCAAATTACGTTAAACGGCGACGCAATTCTTACTATGCGTGACTCCTTTTCCCAAACCACAAAACCTGTTCAAAAACTGCTTAAATAAACTTAAATTCAAAACTTTGAACTTAAGTTTATTGATACCTTAATTTGTTAACCAAAGGTTCAGTAACAATGTAACAATGATAATGTTAGATGAATGAAGAAGCAACATTGAATGAAATATGTATAAAATGAAATGAGAATCCAAACAGTGGCAGGCACGAGGACCCTCAGCGGGGAGCCGCCGCGCTCCACCGCGTACTACTACGCAGACTTAGAAAGACTCAAACGAAAAGATGACCCACTCAAAAGCGAACCAATCACAACCCTGGACCATCCTCTCCGGAACTTCACTCAACCAATCAGAACCCTCGACCACCCAATCAGACACTTCGAAAGGTTCGACCAGTCACAACCACCACCAATCACAGACAAGGATTTCGCTATCTCAAATCCAAATGAACTAAGCGAGTACGTAGAAACAAATGAAATTATCAAGGACGTACCGATTCGAGAAGTTCCACCATTAAGAGATCGCCAATGGAGTCTTCCAGAATATCATACTCCGGAAAATTCTAGAAAAATCGAAGAGACTTATTCCACTGCAGGTACCTTCCCTATGCCAGAACCAAAAGAGAAAGAACCTTTACTGGCTGAACTAGAAGTCGTGGGCAGACTGCCCTTAACACAACTAGAGTCAAATCCTGGAGTGAGGAGAAGTAGGAGCTGGTACCTGTGTTGTCCAAATGTTCCTGATGATGATATCTCGAGAGAATCTTCGTGGAGATATTCCAGTTTAAGGCCTGTCACTGCCCCACCGTTGCCGCAGCACAATGGATTGCATCATGTGGTGGGTTTCTAGTGACGGGAAACAGATTTTGCTCAGTTCACAATTACATTTTCATATTCTTTTCATTTTGAAGGTCATCCATAAACCATGAGTCTCTAATTCATAACTCTTATTTCCTGTCCCCTATAAACTATTGTTATTGTTCTAAACGTTTTGTATTCTTTACTTTTGACGTACTGAAACTCGATTCTCGCGTTATTTATGGACATTATCTAAAGAGTAGAGACTCATGAGATATTCTTAAATAAAAACCGATTGTAAATGGCATTATTTTATCTTTATTTAAGGTGGCAACGCAAAGCAGCGGTCGCGTGGATGACGCAGCAGCACTGAAGTCAGAGCGAGACGCCTTGGCACGAGCGCTAGCTGCAGAGAGAGCTCGAGCAGCTACTGCAGCGAGAGCTCACGACGCGAGACTTGCAGAATTGCATGGGGTCATTGCTGAACTGGTCAGGCGACGTGCTGCCGACAAACACTCCAGAGCTATTCCGGAGGAAGAAGTTTCAGGTAACCAGTCGAGTTTGTGCTACTCATAAATAAATAAATGGATAATTTTAGAAGCAATAGAGCACCTTGTGAAAGTATTCGTCCAGGGAAGTGCTGCCACCTTATCTATTTCTGCGTTCCGGTTTTGAATGGTAAGGGTGCTGGTGAAATTACAGGCACATGGGACTTGTCAACTTATGTCTCAGGGTGACAAGCACAATGGCAGTGCCCCTCAGATCTTTGCGATTTAAAGCTTTGAGTGACCGTGCAACTGTTGTGGATAGGCGTGTATAGCTTCGCACCAGGCACACGACTTGTTCATCCCGTCACTTGATGATATTAAAAACGTCGCTAAAAGGTGAAAAAAGGTTGATATACTCAGAGTTGCTTCTGGAATCATAATACATTTCTTTCCCCTAAAATAATATACATATTATTATTTCAGATGAATGTGAGTCGACGACGCAACCGGCTGGAGAACTGGACAACGACGCAGACAGATCAAGAACAGAACAGGTAGGGGTGGCTTCAGTGACTCTAAATGAAAAGTTGCAGAACCTCATTCTTCACACTTTAATAACCAATGTCAAAAAAGGAGGAAGTTTTCAATTCGACTATATTTTTTGCGTGTATTACACGGTTACGGCGGCCATTTGTGAACCGATTTTGATGACTCCTTTTTTTTGGAAAGAGGGTACCTCAGTATTGGTTCAATTTAAATTTGAAGAAAATATTACACTTCTAACGGTAGCAAAGTAAGGGATGAATCCGGTTTCGCGCACTTTCTGGTAACCGGTTTCAATAAAACTTGGCAAATAAATATAGTTCCACGAACTGTTGAGGTTGGTTTTTTTATATAAAAGTAATTATCCTGACCTAATACGTGCTAGAGGCGTCGATGAAGTGAAAAATAAAATGTAATTATGATTACAGAACGACACATCGTCTATGGTAAGCCCAGTCGAGCTGCCAACTCCTCAAGACCAGCGGGTGGACCCCCGCGAGTTGCCCGAAGACACCACCGATACCAGTACGCACGAAGCGCTCAAGTGAGTCTACACCAATTCTAGTTTTATTTCAATTGTCACATCACAATTGAACTCGATGGTACGTGGCGAACTAGCGGAGGATACTTGCTTAGAATTTATTTTTTCATCGAGAAAAAGCCTCTGTTATTTATCCACTACTTTCATAAATATCGCACATCGATTGATCACAAAAATTTCGATCAAAATTTAAAAACCCCTAAACAAAACAGCGTATTCTAAAAACTCAATACAGTCACCATCTGTAAGCTAACAACTCGGTGAGACCAATTCGGTTAACTCAAACACAATAGTTGAGGAGTTTTGTAGTCCGCAGACTGTCTTGGTCAGCATCACATCAAGGTTACCATATCATTGTAATGTTATCGGGTCTACATTATGTACCAATTTCACCGGTCGGACAAGACAGTGGAAATGAAATAAATGTTAATTTTATAACTGATGATCCCTGCACTAACTGGGGAATGAGCTGGTGATCTTCAAAATCTGGACAGATGTTTATCAAACCTAAGAACCATTCCGATTAGATTAGCCACGCATTTGGGAGCTACAATGCCACGGGTACAGGTACATTGCAAAGGCTTCAAACGCATAACTCCCCTCTCGTGGGGGTTAACTAAATTGTAAAACGTATCCAAATTGAAACAATAGAGGAAGGAAATATAACACGCGATAACAATTGTCGCCGTTTGACTCATCCACCTTGACCACCTGTTACAGAGCGGACCAACCTTGCCTAGAAGTGACCCCGACATCACCTACCGCCGCTGCTCTTACAGATGCGCACAGCCTTTCGGAGCGAGAATCAGAACTTTGCCTTAGCACTGCCAGGTAAGCTTTGGAAGTAAGCAAATGCACTCGGTAGTCAATCTCGAATAAACTTGCCCAATTTTTTAAGTTTATTTCGTGTCACAATGTTTGACCACCATGATATGCAATAATAATAATAATAAATAAATAAATAACATGTTAGTGAAGTAATTTCATAAAAATAATTGAATATCGTGGTGGTCAATAATCGTGATATTAAAAAAAATACTAATGCGACTTAGATGCGCATATAAATTTCCAATCTGAATTAAAATTTGTATTAATAAAAAGATTTCAACAAGCACCATTTAACTGAGAAGACGGGAAAAGGTCTTCTTGATTACGGGAGGAAGCTTGAACACGACAGTATTCGTTTCAGATGTTGCCAGTTCGCGCGCCATGCGCACGCGCACTTGGGCAGCGGGGAGGGGGGCAGCGGGGGCGGCAGCTGCGAGCGGGACAAGGGCTCCAGCGACACAGAGCCGCGCGTGTACACGGCCTCGCCAGGTAATGATGCTGTACCACTTGGACGTCATGGCTACTATAAGTATAATTTTATATCAAAGCCACTATTTCACGAGAGGCGCGGTTAGCGCTATAAGCTGTCATTCTACATTATCATTATCATTTGTTCGATGCAATAATTTTTTCAAAGAATTACTTTCAATTTTCATTAGTATTTCCATTCAAAATCTTAAAGTCCAACAGCTAAGTTAATTAAATTTTCGACTCTAGTATAAAAATACTATTTAGCGCTTTCGCGAGAAAAGTCGCGCTCAAAAGTCAGTGCAATGTTGTACACTGCATTACTGGGTGGCATCCTTAGGATTGTAGACAGGCAGTCGAACTCCAAAGTTAGACAAAAAAGAGCGAGTTTATTATGTCGTAAGGGTATCTCGTCGTACAAAAATGGTATGAACTTTTTGGTATTGCGAAGAAGAATACTACTAATGCCACCTAGTGGCATTCCTACCACATTAAACATATGTCATCTAGCGGTCCAACGGAAGCGAAAGTGTAAGTACTACAAAGAATTTAACAAAATAGTTCCCAGCCGGGCTCGTTAGTGGTTTCATTATTAAAATGTAATTATTACACAATGCGGAAGTATTAAAAAACGCGCGCTCCGCCGCCGAGCGATCTGTCGCTAAATTTGTAAACCTCCGTTGCAAAAGCTGCGCCGAGCGGAAGCGGGTCCGTCGCGTCACTAACGCGACCCGTGCACCTCCCCGACGACACTGCACGACCGCAATTGTCGCAGGTCGCTGCTCGTCGCGGCAGGCGAAGCTGGCGGCGCGGGTGCGGCTGCGGCGCGCCGACGACTGCAGCCCCGACGACGAGGTGCGCGCCGGAGCGGCGCAGGGCTGGTGCGCCGACGC